TCCCTTCCCTCCCTTCCTCACCTTCTCTTCTTTTTCTTCACCTCCCCTCCCTTTTCCCTTCCTTCCTCCCCTACAAGATTAATTAACTCATTCATTCAACGAAAGCCTTTGCACCATGTACCCAGCCCTGGAGAGAGAGCAGAGAAGAAAAGGACAACTAACCCTTATCCTTGTAGAGTGCATTTGGGGCAGAGTAGGTGAGACAGCCTATAAACAAATAAATACGTAAATGACAAAGAGGACAAGGAAGTCCTCTTTGAGAAGGAGGTAGCAGCTTGGCCTGAGGTGTCTGGGGCACAAGGCCTCAGTGAGGTGGCTGGAGCTGGGAACAGCCTGGTCCGCTGGACGAGGTTGGAGGTGCTGGGGGGCTGGAGCCAGGGAGAGGCAGCGAAAGGAAATGAGGTAGAAAGTTCTGGGCCAGGGCTTATCCGGCTGCCAGCTGGCAAGGACTCAGCGTTCACTGTGAGTGAGGGGCCTGGCAGAAGGCAGAGGAGAGACTAGACCTGGCACGGGCAGCTGGCACGGTCACAGTCGCAGAGGCCAAGAAGGCCACTAAAGGAGGCCGCTGCTGCCAGGGTCAGGTGGGCAGAGACTCGGGCTGGGCTTCCTAAGGACGTCTCACTTGCCTCAATCAACCTTTACTTATGGTGTGGATACAATCACTTCATAAAGGAAATCATGCCTGAGAATGTACAATTTTAATGCCTTTTTCTGCTCGAGTGTCTGTATCCGAGGAGTGATCTGTGATTGTCGTTACCACCACATCCTAGAGGGTGTCTCAGAGGCAGAGTCAGCCAGGACCGGCTCCTCTGGGAGGTCCGGGCTGCAAAGCACGGGCAAGCGGGTCCTGTGGACCTCAGACCCCAGAGGGAGCCTTACTCAGAGCACCACTGCCCCGGCCCCTCGAGTATCAGGTAGGGCCAGCTATGGCTGTGCCAGGTGAGGTGAGCTCTGGAGTGTCCCCTTCCCAGCCTCTGCCCTGCCTAGATGTAGCTTCTTTTTCCCCGTAGAACCCAGTTTGGCCATAGGGAGGCCCTCCGGGTCATCTAGGTGAGGTGGACATGCCTTCTGTTAACCCATAATGTGTGACCCTGGGCTGGTCATGGTGTCTGATCCCAAACTAGTCGTGGTGACCCCTAGACTATCCCATAGTGTGTGACCCTGGCCTTGTCATGGTGCGTGACCCTGGGCTGGCCGTGGTGGGTGACCC